AATCTCATGCAAATGTATAGCTTTGGATAAGCTTTGTTTGCTCTTTTCTTATTAGTATTGTTATTATATGATGCAGCTGACAGGAATGAAGAAAACAAGCAAGTCAATCCTGTGCCTGCATACTTGCGTTGGCCTCTGAAAAGAATGAAAGACTTTTCTAACTTTTCTTTTTATTCAATGAATCACATATACACTGTATAATATATTAAATAGGAAAATATCTAACTAACTCAGTAACTAACTAACCAACTCAGTAACTAATGCAGTAACTAACTCAGCTAACAAACACTCTAACCATCTAACAAACATTACAACTGTAGCTATGTTTGTTACAGATATTTTCTGAAGAGCATTTAGGAAAACAGAACTATGATGAACAAGATATCAATGCTGACTTCTTCTGCAGTGATGGCTCTGCCTCTAGCTGTGAATCTGTGGTTGCTGCAGCTGGGTATGTATGTATCTTAGCAGCCTCACATGCAGGCTGATCAGGTGCGTGGACTAAGTTTGAGAGAAATCGGAGGTGGTTTTCCAAAACACCATCGTGCTCCATCTCTTCATTGCTAAACCCTTAACAATGGTGCAAAACATAAAGAGACTAAGGGGACATAGGGATGCTGTTTATTGTGGTAATCTTCTTATCCTTAACTATATTTAACTAGTGTGGTTTTGGGAATTCCATTCATTCAAATGGTTATTAGCATCTCTATAAAGGATGGAGTGCTTCAATTTTCACTACACCAAAAGAATGTAGGATTCCACCATCAATTCAATATCTAGGAATATTACTAATCTAAGACTTGGTGATGATGCTGGTCTTCCAATTTTCTCTCTCTCTCTGAGCAGGTTGGCCGTACAAAAGGTGATGATGCTGGTCTTTCAAATGCGCACATGATTATGGCAGAGATTCCAAATGCTTCAGAAGCGGTGGTATAGGTGCATGACTTGGGGTGAAAAAATAAATTTCTAGCAGTATGGTGGTTCTTGCTTTATGTAGGAAGGGTAATATTTGATGTGTATTATTAATACTCTGTTCAACTCTGGAAATTTGGAGACATTGATTAGAAAATCTGGACATGAATGCTTGATGCTTTGTGTCTAACCCAATGAATATGAAGGCATAATTATTTCTTGGCTAAACACAACTTTTAAGGTCGTAATCTGACCCAATGACAAATGTTATCTGTCCTAATTTATGGTATTGATTTGAGTAGTGGAAATCATTATAACTTCTTCCCAACCCTATTTGCCTTAGGCACTATTACTTTTTATTATTCAACTGTTAATTTCACTTTTATCTTTAAATTATTCTCATTTTATTTTTTGGGATTGAACTTATTGGATTTTTTTCTTGAAGGATGTTGTATGGGGTACTATTATAGATGTGAGGGAATATTAATCTCACATAAATATATGTCTATACAAAGTTTTATTCATTATTGCTATTTTACAGGTATATTTTTGAAGTTAAATCTCACAAAATTAGTAGTTCAAAAAAAAAAAAAAAAAAAAAAAATCTATTGCGGCGTTTTTCAAAACGCCACTATAGTTATATTTTTAAAATAACAAAAAATATATTACGACGTTTTTGAAGCGTCGCTAATGCCTATGTGACGTCATGTTACCGTTGACTGCCACATTTAGCGGCGTTTTTATAAACGCCGCCTATGCTAATTTTACGACGCTTTTAAAGCGTCATAAACTTACAGCGACGGCCGCGTCCTTGACGTTTGGTAGTAAGCGTCACTAAAGGAATTAGCGGCGTTTTTAAGACATATAGCGGCGTTTTTAAAACGCCGCTAAAAGCCATTTTCCCAGCAGTGTTTGCACATTCTTGAAAACGCATCAGTTTGTATGTTTACGTCTTTTGATGTGACAAATGAATCTATGAAGGTAGAATATATGGGGAGGAGAGACAAGAAGCTTAGACGACGTCGCTTTGATGGATGACCTTCATAGAGCATTGTTGACACATCAAGAAAGTCACCAGAATGGTGTCTTTTAAAATTATTTACCCCCCAGGATAAGTTATCTTGGTTTGATGCATGAATGTTAAGGATGAGACCTTCAATTGTTTCGGTCCCCTAGAAAAAATAAAGGACCATGTAAGTATGCACACCAACATAAAAACATACAAGTAGATGTGAAAAGCATAGTACTTACACTTTTCTCAATTAATACATTGAAAGAATCCTTATGATGCCACAGTCTGCTTCTTTTGTCAGGTTCCTCAGGTGACTCTTGTCGTATTACTTCTCGTGCCATGGCTTGAAGCAACTGATGCGTCATTAGCTTGTTATTTTCATCAATTGTTAAGAGGCATCTATCAATGAGATTGTCAATCCCTACTCTTGTGTGGAAATCACATCCATCTAGTATTGAAATAATGAAGTCTCTGTCTTTTCTAACAAAGAAACAAGCAACATCTAGGAATAGATTTCTGTCATGGTCATCTAAAGAGTCATAACTTATTTTAAGTTTTTTAAGGATTTGGCTATCAGGAATTGCTTCCAATTTCTTTAATGCACTTTCCCACACATCTATATTTCTGTCGTATAGAGAAGAGCCCAAAACTTGAAGAGCTAAAGGCAGCCCTCTCTCTCTTCCTCGGCCACTGTGAAATTATTTTCCCTTTTCTTTTCTTTTCTTTTCCTTCAAAATTTTCTCCGCATAAATAAACAAAAAAAACACCTCACAAATTCAACCACAAAAACCCCACGCTGTTTCTTCAAAATCTCCCTTTCATTTTCACCTTTTATTTTTCCCATTTTTGTCTATACATACACATATATACATAAAAGTTAAACTAAAAATCTGCAAATTTCACAGACCTTTCTAGCTTCTACCCTTCTTTTTATACAAACCCTTTTCACTCTCTCTCTCTCTCTCTCTCTCCTGCAAGTCTAAGCCCTTTTGGGTTCCATTGATTAGAGAGAGGTCTTCGAAAAAGCGATGTCAGGCCTCTACAATCCCAACTTCTCACCTGCAAGGGCTGTTTCTCCGCAGATTAGAAGTACCCCAGATGTTGAAAGGTATACTTTTACTTGTTTTTTGTAGTTCAATTCTCTTTGCTCTTCATTCTCTGTATGTTTTTTTGATCACTTGACTTGAATTTGAAGTTACGTGGGGTTTGATTGATGTGGTTTTCATTTTTCCCCTCTTTTTTTGCTCATCTTGGTGTAGTAATCAGTACTGGTCGGAGCTGTTGGCAGAGCATCAGAAGATTGCACCCTTCATGCAAGTTCTTCCGATATGTAACAGACTGTTGAATCAAGGTTAGTTCTGTACTGGGTACTACCATTTCTGGGTTTTGGATCTAGGGTTTTTATGGGTTTTAGCTGCATTGCTTGGCACAGTACTGTGTTTGCTTGTGTGAACAAAGTAGAAGCTTGATTCCACTCAATTGGTTTGATTATTTCGTACAGTTCTTGGCTTTGATTGGTAGTACATCATTGTATTCATTTCTCTCTCTTGTTCCTCAATCGCATGCACATCTGATTTAGATTTTTCTATGGGGAAACTTGGATTTCCCATGGAACAGGTAGATATCACTCACTGCGTTTGCCATAGGATCTGAGACACTTAAGTAGATATAGTGTACAATGTCAGTCCTCTAATTTTTGTTTTTTTATAACCGGGACATGATCCCTTTCAAGTTAGATTAGACACCCAAACCTGGGGTAATGAGATGCACCACTCTTCGTCACCGGGCAAAAAGCGAAAGCCTTGGCTTCGCCCAGAGTTGAACCAAAAACCTAGAGGTTATGACCCCAATTCTTACCAATGGCCAAATAGAGAGGTCCTTTGTTGGAATGCTAAAATGACTACCTTCAAACTGGTCTGAGGTTGAGTGAATGGATCCAAGAAATGCTGTAAAACTGTTTTTTTCCCCCTTACTGGTATGCAATGCACAAAAGATATATTCAATTATCATGGGCATGCTGGGGTCCTTTGGCATCATCTTAATTGTTCACAGATTTCATTTTTGGTTTTGAAAACGCAGTTGCTTTCCTAAGTTTTTTGGACTGGTAGACTGGACTGCTTCTACCATATATATTGTTGTCTTATCAAAGAATACTTGACTTTTTATGTGAGCTTTGGCAACCATTTACTTCAGTTTCCAAGTGAACTTGTATAATGCACAGCATGACTTGGGGTGTCTGACCATATAAATCCTAAGTTTATACCTGATTTAGTGGCAATGCCAAAATTTGATATTTCCTTTGGAAGTAATGAAAGAGATAGATATATCTTGCATTGCATTACTGTAAATTGAAATTAGTTATTTATGAAAACTGGTGCTTAAAGTTGCAACATTTGTATTATCATGGACTCAAATGTTTTTGGCATTTGGGTTTCATGGGTATTTGTTTATCGAAAACACTTGCTGACTAGAAAGCTGGTGTGGAAACTGGCATAGATAAATAGAATTTATTTGTGATTTTTAGTTGAAATAACCTTGTAACTACATTTCTACTTCATTTTCAATATTGCCTTAAAAAGCTGGTGTGGAAACTGGCACAGATAAATAACTATATTTGTGGAAAGTCATTTATCTGCTTGCCTTAGCATTCCTGGATCACAATCTTTTTGTTGTCATTGTTGACAGATTCAAGGATTATATCCCTGCAAAGTATCATTCCTTATATGAGCAGTACCTTAAAAGAAGTGACAACGCAGTCGCCATGTGAAGTAAGAAATTTTTCCATGTAAAGTATTTATATAAACCAAACCAAACTAAGACTTAAGTCCCATCATATCTTTTTTGTCTTTAGCAGTACCTTGTTGAAATAGATTTTCAATATTGCCTTGTCTCGTCCTCTTTTTGTGACTCCTTTTACACACCTTGCATTGTCCTCATCTCCCCACAGAGATTTTACGGGTTTCTGGTATGATGCCCAACCAAGGTTTTGGTGAACTTGACAGACTGCGGCATAGAAGCCCCAGTCCCATGGCTTCTTCAAACCTTATGCCAAATGTTCCAGGATCACGGTTGGGTGGCTGGAATGGCATTCCTCAGGAGGTAATTGGTCTTCTCGGTTTTACTTTAGCATTAATTTAGGTCTGGCAGTCCATCTTTCTTTCTTCTTTTTTTTCTTCTTTTTTTTTTAAATTTATTTTTTATGTAACCTTTTTCCCCTGTATTCTGAAGCTAAGCTACAAATTTATCGCTCTTTGTCATCAATTTTATTGGCAATAATTACCAGTTATGGATGTACAATATCGGATTCATGCCTACCTAGAACTAAACAGTAGCTGTAATTAAGTGATGGACCTATATTGTCAATGTTAATTGGTTTGAGGTTCTCTTTGATGAATATACCTCAACGTCATACCCATGCCTTCCTGGCTTCTCAACTCAAATTGAACAAATGGATATAGAATATCTCGCATTCTTACACAGATTTTATCAACATGGGAGTATGTTTTTAGTGTCCAATTTTCTCTAAACTTTGGAGTGTATACTTTTAATTATATGCTCATAATTACATATTACCTATAAATAAAAAAAAGATTCACGATTATAGAGATAGTGTTGCATTCATCACCATTGGATTGACTTCTTCTGCAGTGATGGCTCTGCCTCTAGCTGTGAATCTGTGGTTGCTGCAGCTGGGTATGTATGTATCTTAGCAGCCTCACATGCAGGCTGATCAGGTGCGTGGACTAAGTTTGAGAGAAATCGGAGGTGGTTTTCCAAAACACCATCGTGCTCCATCTCTTCATTGCTAAACCCTTAACAATGGTGCAAAACATAAAGAGACTAAGGGGACATAGGGATGCTGTTTATTGTGGTAATCTTCTTATCCTTAACTATATTTAACTGGTGTGGTTTTGGGAATTCCATTCATTCAAATGGTAGAGTTATTCTTAGGTGGTTCTTTGGTGGCAGTAATTGTAAAAAAATCAACATATTAGCTTCTTATTATTTTTTTGGATAACAATTTTAGTGTTATTATTATTTAAAATTTTTGCTGTTTGCTGCTCCCTATTCTTCTGCTAATTATTGTTTATCTATCTATCCCACCATGCCTTTTGATTCCACTGTGGGTTATATGTTTTCATGTTGTTGTATCTTAAACAGAAATAACACATTAGGGATGCTTTTGTAATAATTTTTCTTGTACAGCAATATTTGATCGGTCAGGGAGATACGTGATTACTGGATCAGACGATCGTCTGGTCAAGATTTGGTCAATGGAAACTGCATTTTGCCTAGCCAGCTGCCGTGGACATGAAGTATGTGAACATGTCTTTATATTGTCATACTCAGTTTGTATATATAGAACTCCATTTTTGTTACTTATTTTACTTATTTGCTTTTCTCAATTTTACAGAAAGAATTGTATGCACAATGGAATTTTTAAAATTTTAAATTTCAATTACAATACAATACCAATGAGCATGTTTGTGATCTATACAAAACTCAAATTAACCGTCCATAGAGATAGTTAGAATAAATACTTCAAACACAAAATCTAATTCCACGCTTGATCTTTTGGGTCTACTCGAATCCGAAGCCGTTCAATTGTCCAGCCTCTAAAAAGTATCCACATAATTATCCCCTACCCTTGCCAAAGTCTTCCTCGAGTCATATCCTACAAGATTCTTTACTTGAGAGTGATAAATCCCTTATTGAACATTCAAATGCCTCCATTCATATCTCACTAAGTCCAATTAACTAGTGCTTATATTTCATGGTTAGAACTTGGAACATAAACAAATTATATGATTAAAGCTTAATCACACATATACAAGATAACCATGATGCTCTCAGGTTTAAGGATTATATGCACAACTGTAACTAATGAACATCTATGTGATAGTTATGGTCAGTGAACTTGTTCTCTAACAAGCACCCACATCTTTGTTTTCATGTCTCCACACTAGTGACATGCTAGTCTTACTAGATTATTAACACCCAATTAATAATCCTATAACTTGAAACTTTCAAGATTCAGTAATCTCATATAAAAATAAAATGTCTTCTCAACTTTAATTCTATGGCCTTATCCTGTAAACAGTAACACACAGTGCCGATGGCCTTGTGGCATGCAGGCAACACTTTAGGTGGTTGCAAGGGATAGGGAGGGGGTTCATTCTCCTTGGGAGCTAATCTAACAACTAACAATTGACTTTTACCAATCAAAAAAAAAAAAAAAAAAAAAAAAAAAAAAAAAACAAACAACAAAACAAAACCTTAAGTGTCTATTAATAAAAATATATATTGTCATAAAATAAAAATAATTAAATACTATAT